CGATCAGATGTTCCAGGACAGAGGCATGGCTGGTAGATCCTTTTTCTCCTTTATAAAACCATAAAGGCAAGTGTTTGGCTTTACGTTTGGATGCCAAACGCTGGGTACGGCGGACATAACTAGCTCCACACGAGCAGGTGGATTGGTAGGCTAACAGCAGTAATTTATCATTCACGTTCAACTTAATTATTTAAGTTTATTCTATTTTCTACCTAATTAACCTATTCTGCATTACGTAATTTGTCATCTAAAATTTACAATTTTGATGACATATCCTTGGAAATGTTTCTTCTGTTGCTCAGACGATTTACTATATATACAAATATATATGTATGCAATTTTAGAGCTTGAGAATGATATCACCGTAAAAAGTTATTCTTCGCTGAACGCCTTTCCATTTATATGACTCAGTTGGTATATTCAAGTTGCTTAAACATTGCAAAATGTGACTTAGTAATTTCAGAAACTGGCGTGGAGCGATTCCCCTTGCCACGCCGAGTAAAATTCTAATTTGGATCATCATGGATAGACTGGAAGTCGCTTCTTATGCAAAACACTACCCAGATGGAGCTGAGTTCAGGAAAAGTAAATCATGTAGAAATGAAATAGCAACGCTTCGCGTCATAGCCGAAAATAACACTGTATAGCGACTAAATGTCTATATCAATTTCATTGACTCTGTAAAGGCCTTCGACAACGTTGATTGCGAGGTAATCGGGATATCATAAAGTTGATAGAAGTCGATATAAGGGGCAGGACCAAATGCGATTCCTACAGAAGCACTAAAGAGGGATATTAAGTATCAGTATCTATGTTCACCACTTTACTGCAGAAGGAGAGGAAGGAGGGGAAGGTACCTGTTGACTAAATATGAAGCTACCTAGCCAAACTATCAGGGTGGCGCGATTTAGGCTTTCGAAACAGCTGTCCATCTGAGACTGAAATATCAAACCACGGCATCCTGAGATTGTTAGACGGTTTGGTTGTGAAACTCCGCCCTAAGCAAGCTGCATTCGGGGAGAGTGAGTCATGAGTCAAGGATTCTACACACAACGAAGTTATGTATGAAAATTGACTTCAAGCTTTATTTTTTCCCTGGCAATTATAATACATCCACCAAAGACCTGTTTTTTTTAATGCGAAAACAATACTTCTGTATTTCCTGATGTGTTGCACTCACTGACAATCCAGCAGATTTCTCCAATTGTGCACAGAAATGATTGCATAGAAGTGAAAAGGCTGTTTTATACTACTGGGATTAACATTTATATGTATAATCTCCAGAGAACATGTAAAGCATATCTTGCTACCGCCTGTAAATTGTGATTGGATTATGTGGTTCTATTTCTGTAACAATTTGATGATGCCTGTAAACTGGCGTCATTCATGTACTGTACTGTGAGAACAAATTTATTTATTTTATGTGGTGATCAAACTTCAACACCACGTGTAATCATCATGGAACAGAGCCTGGAGTAACAGCAAAATACTCACCTCAGCTTGGCTTGACTTTATGAATCCCCTAGACAGTATCAACCGTGGAGTAATTTGACTACCACCGCGACACTCCGGAGTTCATTGTAAAAACATTCAGGAGCAGTTATGTGGTGACTCCGAATGAGAAATGATTCACAACAGAAAGCCCAACGAAGCCCCTTAAGTTAAGATAAGCTGTAGGACGAGGCTGCTGACTGTTACAGATAATATTCCTGATTGTGATGAACTGGATCACGGGGCAGGTCACAAAGGCGTAACAAGACGGGAGTACGATGGACCGACGATTTCTTCACGTTAAATATTGTTTGAATATTATCAAAATATATTGTCCGATTTTGGGTGTCTAACGAAAATTTGGCAAATTGCAAAGAAGGCAGTAAGTTGTGTAGATCGTAATAGGTCGGTTCCTGCGTAGAGACTGAAATACTTCGGGTTCCGACTATTAGTATAACCAAGAGGAGCAAGTCTTGAGCTTTTAACCTAATTTGGCCTGCGTAACACCTAATGCACTTCTAAAAGACCGTAGACTATCAAAAATAGCGTTCTCTCGACACTGAGAATCAAATGACTGATCGTAAAGGATAAGTTATAAGTTTCCAGACCGTAGGTGTTACGAATTTCCTGGAATGGTTTGAGCACCGAGTCAGATTGATTCATTATGAATTATTTAAATTAATCCCAGCGTGTTAAGAAAATCAAAACAAGATTTTTCTGAATGTTTCACTATGGAAGCCTCAGCTTCAGCCTATAAGTGCTCACAATCGTATTGATGGGATAAAAAGAAACTCTAGGAATTCACAGCTACATGTCAGTGCCCCTTCAAAGACTAATCGACCATAGCGGTCTTCTCTGACCTCCAAAAGTGCAGACAAATAAATCTTCGAAGATAGAAGCGTCCTAAGCTCATTTATACTGAAGGACTTCTTCGGACCTCACAAACTTACGCATGACGAGAAGAGTCCAAAAGACGGACACACGTATAACCACTGCGGTGACTCATCTGTCGTGCCACACACGACTAGAAACTAGAATTTCTCCTCGGCATTCAATGTTGGATAAAGAATACTGTACTCTGACTGTTATAACAAAGCCAAATTTGAAGAATGTTGTGCTACAGACACTGCACGAACAACATTTGAGGAGATCAACTTGAAGTCTTCAACCGAAACCAAGACAAAACGAAATTGTTCCAAATGAACTTGACTATAGTCAAGTTATAAATTTACAAATCCCAAACAAAATCAAATTGTTCCAAATGGAATTATATTGATAACAGGATGTTGAAGAGCTACATTATTATTGTTCTATTTAACAAAATGTATCAGATAAACATGATACAAACCTTCAAATACGAGGTTATCTGACATCCAAGAATATAACGCCTGAACTCAAAAATGGCTCACAGTTGACAAAAATGTGCATTGAAACAAGAGATGTACAACCGCAAACGGTTCAATTAACACAAAATGGGAAATGGTATATAAAGTAAATTTTTAGTGTTTAAAGGTGTAATATTAGACGTAAAAGTAATAATTCTGGGCAATTGTTTACAACCACACTGTTTATTTTAGATCATAAATTTACGTAGAGTACAGAAGTTTCAGTGTATTCAATTGCAATGCTTTCCGATAAGTTCAAAGTAGAAGACGAAATGCTAATTAAGAATATGACTACGTAAATACGATGACCTAAGTATCAAAACAACAAGAAATACGGAAAATTTGATGTATAAGTATTGGATGGAAATTTGAAAAGCCCAGTGATTTAGACAGGCCACAGTTTTTTGTCATCTGAAAAGGCTGTCCATCAGTTAGGGAGTAATTGTTATACAAGAACTGCTGGGCAGATATCACTGACTCAAATGGATATTTAAATGTCGCATTGGAATCGTATGATTTGTTAACTAAACCTTTGTCATTTCTAAAATCTGTCAGACGTCATTTCAAGCAGTTGAAGTTTTATCTACGATACCTTGCGTAGAATGGAACGGCGCTTTTGTCTCCCGTCCAGGTAGAAATAACTATGACAGCCACCTACAATGGGTTTTCAGGAGACTTCAGATATTCAATAATGGTCATTCCTCTCAAGTTTCATCTGGGTGTTTATTCACAGATCTTTTCTGATAGTGCAATTTATGAACACAGCAGTCAACCGTCACCTTAGGAGGGACAGATGTCTAAATGTTTTCCGTGATCTAAGTCCTTTAGATTACTGTTGGTAACGTCTTATTATTTCTCAACATACGCGCCTTTAAACGCACTGACAAATTTGCTCACTTAAGTGCAACACCAGAAACATAACTTCGGATGTATTAGAGGCTTGCAGAAGATCAAAACGGCTATAGATTACGTCACCATGTTAGTGCATCAAGACTTCAGACTTCATCTGAGCATAGTTACTGGTGCATCCAGCACGGCTAATAGAACTTTACTGCAGCAACAGAGGAACTCTACCAATTTTCTTTTCCATGAAGTTGTCTGCCTTGGAGGTAGCGCATAGTTTGTTTGTTGAGTTTGCTAGTCATATATACTTCCATTAAAAAGTTTCCTCATCTCACAGGGGTCTGTTGCTGCTTCATTTTGACTGAACTAGCGTATACACATATCCTAATACTTCCTCGCGTTTACAATTGTGCCCTAACGGTGCGATTACTCGACATCCACAACGTAATTCAAAAGGCACTTGCGAAGGAATACGATAGTGTATTGTTGCAGCAATCAAAATTCAAAAATCGAGCGAGTCCAAAAAGTATCAATTGTTAACATGCCAGATTTAGAGTAATAAATAAATGAAAGTACAATTACACAATGAAAGTATAGTACGATTATGAGTAATAAAACTGGTCACTACAGGTCTACGCGTTTTACGAACGATGAAACCACGTACTGTGTCTCACAAACTGTCACAGATAGTCACACACCAGGAAAATAGGAACACGTGAATTATACTGAGAAGTTACTCCGGACATCCATCATATTTACCGAACACGCAACCCTCTGATGGATGTTTTCCTTCACAACTGCACTGCTACAGTGCTTTAGTCTACTGACTTGCGTGAAGTAGCCGAGTATCGCAATACCGATGAAGATGCAGGAAAACTCTAACACTCCATCTTCGATGACCTAATGGACGCTTCTTGTGAACAGCGAAGGTATCCCATTGTAAAATGTCTACATCGACTGTGAGACTTGTGACTCCTCTCTCTTTGCATCATACATAAAGTTTCCAGTACTCTACACAACATTGCCTTTACTGGCATCCGTAGTATATACGCGTTAATATCAGTTAACCTTGTATAAGTGGGCGTTAATGGGAATTTCCGGAAGTGTATGCTTCTATATACCTCCAAATTACACCGACATAGTTTTTTAGAGATTGAAGGTATCGACGTTCGCGAGTTGTACGGATTATACTAACGCAAGATCTTATACCAACAACCACTATAGTGTTCGTTCTTCGAGTACCAAATGGTAAAGCAAAAGACCAGATTTTGTCGTCCAAATACGATATATATTTTGGGACCAAATCGCGGGTAGGAATGAATGCTTAGCTAGCTAGTAATCGTGCACGCACGTGACACGACGAAGCACCAAATGGCGGGGATGCTTGACCGTAAGCCTTCAGCTAAACAAGTCGACTTAAACAGTGATGGTCAGCATCCAATGTTGAGTGATGATTGCTGTGGTTAATAATTTTGGGGAATTATTTACCGCTACAGCTCACTCCCCCCCTAGTGGGTTTGTGAGGACCCTAAGACATGACCAGCCGGAAGTAAAAAAATCTCGATGGTTCCCTGATGGGTGAAAAAAATCTTCCGAGCGGCTTGATCGAGAGCCTGCTGGTCTGTCTGCCTATGCTAATAGGGTGTCTGTACATAGCTTCCTCAATGTTGTTCGTTGGATCCCGTGCTTCGTTTGTTTCCTGTCCAGTGCCCGTTGCACCTGGAAAAGAAAACAAGAATGCTGAGAACCTTGTCAAGAAAAATGTACCAAATAAGCGTTTTTTACCAAAAAAATATGACATGCATCTACTATACAGTAAAATAATGTAAAGTGCAAAATATCGGGGAAAAAAATATACCTCTAATTTAATTTTATGTACGGTTATAGGAGAAATATCATTTACTTGTGTTAAATGACGCAACATAAAAAAAATTGATGTGTCACTCAGTTATGTGAGATAGGTGTGAAGGTATTCTGGAAATCTAACGTGACGTCCAGAACGCGTTTTCTTAGAGTTATCGACCGAAGTTTCGGTGGCTTTCGCCGTGCTAGGGAGTTCTTCGAAGACTGAAGTAGATTCAATAACTTGTGAATTATCGGGTACGTTTAGCTCCAGGCTAATGGGGTTACCTTCCAAGTAAGCTGGTTTCAGACGGTCGATACTGACGGTGTCTTCGCGGCCTTTTTTGTCTAAAACGAAGAATTTATCCATACGTTTAATCACTTTATATGGTCCGTCATACGGGGGTTCTAGAGGACGACGTACCGAGTCGCGACGAACAAATACATGTGAAGAAGTTTTTAAACAAGGGTGAACAAAAACATCAATGGACTGTGGTCGGAGGGGAGCAGGTTTAACTGAACGCATAGCGTTTGTAAGCCTGCTGACGTATGAGGAGTGATCTACTACTGGTGGGAAGCTCGAGGGAGAAACAAACTCACCTGGCAGTCGTAGTGTTGTGCCATATACTAGCTCAGAGGTAGTACAACCAGCATCGGTTTTTAAGGCGTTTCGTATCCCTAGGAGAACTAACGGAAGGGATTCAGTCCAGTGGGTGTTATTTGCAGCTGATAAACCAGCTTTCAACTGTCTGTGTAGACGTTCTACCATACCATTCGCTTGAGGATGGTAGGCTGTCGTTCGAAAACGCATGCAACCAAGGATTTTAGTCAAAGCGAAGAATAAACCGCTTTCGAATTGCCGCCCACGATCAGTTGTTATGGAAGATGGGCATCCAAAGTTTGCGATCCATCTCTCTACAAAGACGCGTGCGACAGTTTCAGCAGATATATCCTTGATGGGTACTGCTTCAGGCCATCGTGTGAAGCGATCGATGCAGGTTAACATATAGGTGTATCCATGAGATTCTGGAAGGGGGCCAACTAAATCTACATGGACGTGTTCGAAACGGGCATCAGGGATAAGAAAAGTGCCAAGGGGGCTTTTAGTGTGTCTTATTACCTTGCACTTTTGGCAAGCTAAGCACGTCTGTGCCCATTCCCTTACTTCCTTGTTAATACCAGGCCAGCAAAACCTACTAGTTACGAGTTTGACAGTAGTTCGAATACCTGGATGGGATAAGCCATGCAACGTATTGAAGACGTTACGGCGATAACTTTTAGGCACGATGGGGCGAGGAGTACTAGTGGAAATGTCACACAGAATAGTATCCTTTCCTATACCTAAGGGTTTCTTGGCTAGTTGTAGAGTTGTTTTCGACAACTCACGCTGAAGCTCAATATCTTCTTTTTGAAGACGAGCCAGTTTTACAAGGTCTATGCCATCGATTTGGGTGAAAGAACAAATACGTGACAAGGCATCTGCCACAGTGTTGTTCACTCCGGAAACATGGCGAATATCTGATGAAAACTGTGAAACATAATCTAGTTGTCGCGATTCCCTGGGTGAATACTTATCTGAAGTTGAGTTCAGAGAGTACGTCAGAGGTTTGTGGTCAGTGAAAATGGTGAATTCACGACCCTCAACTGAATGTCGAAAATGACGTATAGCACAGTACATAGCTAGAAGTTCCCTTCCGAATGTGCTGTACTTCGTTTCAGCTACTTGAAGGCGCCTCGAGAAAAAGGCGAGTGGTTGCCATTCGTTGTTAACTAGTTGTTGCAGAACTGCGCCGATTGCAGTGTCTGATGCATCAACCGAGATACTCAACGGTGCCGTTGGATCTTGATACATAAGAAGGGTGGCATCTGCAATAGCTTTCTTTACCTGAGTAAAAGCATGTCGAGCAGACGTGTCGAGTTCGATAGCCTTGTTGTTCCCTCGAAGGAGATCGGTTAATGGCTGAATTAGAGAAGCACAATTAGGAATAAAACGTCGGTAATAACTTACCAAGCCGTTAAAAGTGCGAAGGCATTTTACTGTCTTTGGCTCCGGAAAGTTCAGTATTGCTTCGACTTTGGTAGCCAGTGGGCGAATACCCTGGCAGTCAATAGTGTGACCCAGAAAATCGAGTGAGCCAACGCCTATCTGACACTTCTGTATATTGATGGTAACACCATGTTGGCGTAACCTTTCAAATGCCAAGTCCAAGTGTCTAAGGTGAGTTTCCTTATCTGGACTGGCAATGAGGCAGTCGTCTAAGTATGCGTATACAAAGTCGAGACCGCGAAATACTTCGTTGATGAAGCGTTGGAATGTTTGTGCCGCATTCCGGAGGCCGAATGGCATACGTAGGAATTCAAAAAGTCCGAAAGGCGTGATGATAGCCGTTTTCGGAATATCTTCCGTTGCCATCGGGATTTGGTTATATGCTTTAACCAAGTCGATTTTGGAGAATATAGATGCTCCAGATAACGTTGCCGTCAAGTCGTGTATGTGAGGCAATGGGTAGCAATCGGGGGTAGTTTTGGCGTTGACTCGCCGGTAATCACCAGTGGGTCGCCAATCGTTACTATCTTTTTTTGGAACCATATGCAATGGGGATGCCCATGGACTATTCGATGGCCGAATGATGCCAAGGGTGAGCATATGATCGAATTCGTTTCTGGCAATTCTCAGTTTGTCAGGGGCCAGTCGTCGTGCTTTAGATGTCACGGGCTGTCCTGAGGTTATGATGTGGTGCATAACATTGCTGGTTATACACGGGAGATCGTTAGATGGGCAATTCAGTTCCGGATATTTGTCAACAATCGGTTGGAAAGTTGGATCGGGGATTGCTTTCATCTTAACGATTGACAAGCTTGGGCCTACGTAAGTTATGCCTTTGATAGACAAACTAGTAGTGTTGTCAATTAATCGTTTACGGCGGACGTCTACGAGCAAATCATGATGATTAAGTAGGTCCGTGCCGATGATGGGCATTGTGACGTCAGCGATCAGAAAAATCCACCGAATAGGTTTGCGTAAACCTACGTTCAGATAGACGTATTTCCGACCATAGGTTGCAATTGGTTTTCCATTTGCAGCCTGTAGGTTGAGGTTAGGATCCTTCTGTCGATCTGCTGCTGTAGCAGGAAGGACGCTGACTTCGGCGCCTGTGTCGACTAGATATCTAGTCTGGCTAATTACATCATGGATGTAAAGTAAGCGGCTAGTGCCACCGGCGACGGTTGCCGCTAACGCGTGCCGGCGGGATAGTTTCCCACAGACTTGGAGGCTTTGCCGAAATCACAAGGTTTTCGACAACATTTCGCTTCCTTGCCATAGGTGTTGTGATACCAACACCAGTCAGGATTTTTGACAGAACGTGTGTTGGACTTAGATCGTCCACGTGCGTTTTGCCGTTGAGGGGATCTAGAACGACGGTTTGAGGAATTGCTAGGCTTGTTTGACCTAAGCATCTGCTGGACGGAGTTGATTAACTCTATCATTGCAGAATCCTTCTTCGAAGTCTGTTCGGTAACAGAGTATACTTCGGTGATTGGCCGTTTCGTTATCTCTAGAATTCTATCTGCAGAGACAGCTAAATCATCTATGAGAACACCCTGAAGTGTCACAAGTACAGTCTGAACTGACTGTGGCAGTTTGGATAAAAATAGTTCTCTAAACAGTCCTTCATCGAACTGACTTTGGCCAATGATCTCTTTCATTCTTGCCAGCATGCTCACGGCTGACTGATCTCCTAACTCGATGTTACGAAATAACTCATCCAGACGTTGTCGATCTGTGAGAACGTTTCTCTTGAGGATGGATGCTTTTAGCAACTCGTACGAGTTACTTACCGACATCTGCAGAGTTACGCACCTGCTGAATTCCCGCGGTAGGGCGTGAATAACTGCAAGGAACTGTGAACGTTGATCAGTTATGCCATGTTCACAAAAATCGGACTCAGCAATCTGAAACCACGTTTCAGCATTATCTGGCCAAAATGGTACTAGCTGAATTGTTTTGGCGGTTGAGCGAATCTGAATAACCTTGGGGCTAGGATCACTCATGACGAAAAGTATGCCGATAACAATATAGTACAAGAATAAACACAAAAAGGAACGAACTCACCGGGTTTATCTGCGTGTGAATTGAAGATGTAGTTCGTGGTTGGGCTCACCAGTTTAGAGATTGAAGGTATCGACGTTCGCGAGTTGTACGGATTATACTAACGCAAGATCTTATACCAACAACCACTATAGTGTTCGTTCTTCGAGTACCAAATGGTAAAGCAAAAGACCAGATTTTGTCGTCCAAATACGATATATATTTTGGGACCAAATCGCGGGTAGGAATGAATGCTTAGCTAGCTAGTAATCGTGCACGCACGTGACACGACGAAGCACCAAATGGCGGGGATGCTTGACCGTAAGCCTTCAGCTAAACAAGTCGACTTAAACAGTGATGGTCAGCATCCAATGTTGAGTGATGATTGCTGTGGTTAATAATTTTGGGGAATTATTTACCGCTACAGTTTCAAACCAATTGTCTTTAATTGTACACCCGATAAGTGATTTACGCGTGTTCTTATAGACAACATCGGTCCGCTTCCATTTTCTTTAATGGTCACTTTCTTCTTCACATCTTTAAAGATAAATCTCCTCTTCGACTGGAAACTATTCAATGTTCGATATCACTATTGGAACTGTCGGACAAGTTTGCGCAAATCAAATTCATGATTACAATTTACAAAGTTCGAATAGAGAAATTTCCACACAGTTTCCTTGAAAAACCGAAGCTATTCGAATCACAAACTGCGTCATCTGCTTGATACAATAATTCACAATCAAAAAACAGGCATAAACTCATGACGCTATATACTACTGATTGGTTGTGGTGAGTAGTTGTATACTACTCATATCGAAGTGATATAAGTACAGGATGGCCGTTTCACTCATTTTCGGCCTTATCACCAGTTCACTCAATTAGCTGGTCGGAATTTGAGTGGTTTGAAGTGATTTATCTGTCTTAGTTGAGTCAAATTGGGTACACTAGCAATAAGCTCGTCCCCGAACGAGTGAAGCGGCCGTTCGGTGTTTAGATCATATCGATCTAGTGAGGGATCAGTATATTAGCCAGCAATTTGGGTACAGTAATTTCAAAAATCTTCATATCCTTCGGGGTACATAAGCATTACTGTTGTTGCGTATCCTTCAGTTGTTTGAGAAAACGCTCAACGTGTAATATATATATATTATATATATATATATATATATACTTCCCTGGTATGCTTAAATTACAAACTGATTGGTTTCATACCACAAAATCTTTTAATATCCTCATCAATTCACAAAAATACAAGTAAATAGCATCGAAAATATAGAAAAACAAACATCCTACTGGCGCAGTTCATCAGTATATATTGGGTATAATAAAAAAAATAATTACAAGAATTTAATGACACAAATACTGATACAAATGAGATGTGAATTTTTAAAATTCTAATTTCCTATTTTTCTAAAAAGCTTTTTCTTCAATCACATTCACAATTGCAACGATATCTGCCATTAGGACCAATTGTCAATTCCTCAGTTGTTGTAGTCATCATTGTAGTTGTTGTAGGTTGTGGTCGTGGTATGGTATTGGTCGAGGTGTTGTAGGACGTTGTGGTGTGCATATGTTAGCCCAGTCTGCTTGATATGGTTGTGAATGTTCCACATTCTCCCTAGAATATTTCACAAAAATGTAGCGGATTGGTGGTGACTAGTACTGATAATCAAATTTTTCTTCACTTAGGAAATCATCTTCCCGAATTAAAAATATTCTAATAAAAATATGTTTAAAAATGATTAACGAATCAAATTTCTTCAAACCGCAGAAGCAATGGCAATTCACATGTTAAATCCTCAACTCTGCATACAAGAGAAATTGGTTCAGTCATTAAATCTGCAATGGACCTAATCTATCTAAACACTGGATATGTAATTTTTGTTTTTTGTTTATTAATTGTATTATTTTCTTCCCCCACCCCTCGGGAAGGATTCAGTAATCAACCTCTCTTGCTCTCTACCTACCTATATTACCTTTTTTAGAATTTTATCTTCTCCCATCCTATTGTGTCGTTGTGTGTTAATGCATGCTAAGGCATCTACAGTAGTTTTACCATATAAGGAAGGGATATCTGAGACCCTACGTAGGATTCTAAATAAAGCAGGAATTAGAGTAGCGTTTAAACCTACAAACTCACTAATAGACAAGCTCTATAGGCTAAAGGACCCGGTGGACCCAATTAAACAAAATAACATAATTTACAAAATACCCTGCAATGACTGTGAATTAAGTCAAACTAGTAGGTCATGAGTAGTCAGATTGTCAGAACATAAGAATTTAGCTAAGGTTAGAATAGTTGACCTCACCAGAGAAGATAAATAATTTAGGAAAAAAGCTTAGCAATTGCACTGCGTGCATTAACACATAACCACACAATAGGGTGGGATAGGGTTAAAATTCTAAGAAGTAATATAGGTAGGTGGAGAGCGAGAGAGGTTGATTACTGAATCCTTGTTCATCGAGTCTATACCCAACACGTGCAATAGGAATGACTCCTCACTCATACCGGAAATATGCAAAATACTATTACCAATCAAGTCAAGCGATGGAAAATAATGGAATTATATAAACGAAGTTAGAAAGTTGTGTAAGTAATGCCTCGATATGATTGTGAGTGGTAATAAATTGTGCTCCAAACGTGGTCATCAGTAAATATGACTGTGCAACAAACACTGTGGGACTTTATCAAAACAAATTTTACCCATAATTAAATTAAACTCTACCACAATGCACAAGTTTTATTCTTTCTTACCCATCGTGGTAACTGGATATCTTTATCCTTTATTTCATTTGATTACGTAATTATTGGCTTTAATCTCCTCCCTTCTCTTTATATACAGTATGATTTTGCTTGTTTCCTGTTTCAGTGATATGAGTTGAACTCAGTACATTGTTACCTAATTTATTGATCACTCATCATCTTACGCATCTCTCGTCTCTATTACGCAATTCCTTCACCATTGTATGCATACATATCTACTTTGTTTAGAATTGCACTCCCTGTGTAAAAACGGTATAAGCGTAATTTTCTCAGCACTGTTCATTAAGTTCAGAACCTTCTGTTAACTGATATGATGTAAAATTTGCAAGTATGGTAGAACTTTTCTGTACACAAACTTAGTAATAATTTATATAGGCTGTAAGCAGCAGCTGATGAGAAGCCGACGAAACAAACGAAGGATGGTACCATATTATTCTGCACAAACCACACTGTTGTTCTTGCTTTATTCAAATTAATGGTGTATCATTTTCAAGAATTAATTTGTAAGGATTTGATTTTGTTTCAAGTTCGATCACGCATTGATGTCAGCTAGAGAACCACTGAAAACCAGGGAACATTACTGGACAACTTTTTGTTCCTAGTTAGGGACTCCTGAATAGCGCGCAGCTAATCCCTCCCACCCCACCACCAGGGATCAAGCTCAGGACTTTCAGGTTATGAGGCCAAACACATTGACCACTTAGCCATTCAGTCACCCGTGAATTCTAACTTCTTTTATTTGATGAGGTAATACTCTGTCTAAGGTATGTTCCACTGTCCGACCATTTCTTCCTACCATATCCTTGAAAAAATGTAATTGAATAAGTTAAAAACTACCGGAAAGTGCTTATTAGTAGTGATTACAGTCTATGGATAAAGTAGAATGATTAAAACATTAGAGAATAAAGTTGATTTAAAGATAGTTTACTGGATATCAACGTTTCAATAGGTGAATATCACCATAATTATTATCGTAGACTAATAATAAACTTTAAAATTAATTTGAAATATGCACCAATTCCTTTCACCTTTTAAAAATCAATAAATAATGAAATTAATGCAGTAAAACAATAATAACTGACTGAAATGACCTAAACTTACATGGGTGAATAATAACAGACTACTATTACACCTGATCGTACTTGTGTATCTCGTCTACATCCTCCAACTGCACAACCCATGAATTCAGCTTTTCCCCATACGATCTGTGATTATTAAAATAAAACATTGGATTAAAGAAATATATATTATCTAAGTTGTGAAATTACCTTACAGATAGAATACAGCCTGTTGGCTATAATCATATCAAAAGCAATGTAAAAAATTTGAATATCCCTATAATTTATTCAGAAAAAATATAGTTTGAGCGAACATTTGCTGTTTTCAGTAAATTCTTCTTCAGGCTTTA